GAACCATCCAGATTGAGTTTTGTTTTGTAAACCCATTTTACACCAATTACAGGTTTATCAAATGGTCTTTTGACCAACTCCCATGTATCATTCTTTTCGATCATCTCAATCTCTGTGGACATAGCTTTTCTCCAAGCCTCATCCCCTGATGCTTCTTCAAAACATTCAGGTTCTATCACACAGAAATTGAAATTGCACCTTTCATAAATTTCAAGCCTCTGAACCTTAATGGAGTATGATCATACATTTGTGAGCTGGTATGATCTATTTGCTCTTCTTGTCTCTGAAGAAGAAGCAATAACTTGCTCATGTTGTTCCTGTAGTGATTCTGTGCATTCAAATATTGCATCATCTCATCAACAGCTTCATCTTCAACAGTCTCATTCTCTTTGCTTCCATCAACATCACTTGGAACTGAGATGGACATAGTCTTCTTATTACCAGATTTCCAATCCCAACAAGAGTTCTCATCAAATATTACATCTCTAGAAATAACAATCTTGTTAGTTTTAGGATTGAACAACCTGTAACCCTTTTCACACGTTCCATAGCCAAGGAATATGCACATTACACTTGTTGCATCCAGTTTCTGCCTCATTTTGTGATGGAACCTGTGCATAACATAAAGATCCAAACACTTTTAAATGTTTTACTCCAGGCTTTCTTCCACTGTAAGCTTCAAATGGAGTCTTCTTATTCAAGACCTTGGTAGGACATCTATTGAGAATGTAGACTGCAGTATTCACTGCTTCTGCCCAAAATTCAAATGGAATCCCTTTCTCCAACATCATCATGCATTTAGCCATTTCTACAATGGTCCTATTTCTTCTCTCAGCAACACCATTCTGTTGAGGAGAATAGGCCACTGTAAGTTGTCTTTCTAGACCAAGATTTTCACAATATTGAGAGAATTCCAGAGAAGTATACTCCCCTCCCCTGTCACTCCTTAATTTCTTCACTTTGAATCCACTTTGTAGTTCAACAGTTGCCTTGAACCTCTTAAATATGCCAAATGCATCAGATTTGTTTCTCAGAAAATAGACCCATCCCATTCTGGTACAATCATCTGTGAAAGTGATGAAATACTTGTTTCCAGCTTTGGTAAGTGTTTGCATTGGTCCACATATATCAGTATGTATTAACTCCAATGGTAGTGCAGCTCTCCAGTTTGTTTCTTTAGGAAAAGCATCTCTAGAATGCTTTCCAATAGCACATCCCTCACATACTGTGGAATTCACTCTGAGCTCAGGTAAACCAGTCACCATGTCATGCTCTTGAAGTTGCATGAGAGCCTTCATATTTAGATGCCCGAGTCTTCTATGCCATATCTCAGCAGCTTGTTTAACACCTGCCCTCATAGCCATTTGTATTTCCTGGTTGCAACTTCAAAGGAAAGCTTCGATTTCCCTTCATAGGAATTTTAACAACCAGATTAGAGCATGTAAAATCTTCATAAATTCTGACTTCAATTCCCCCAAACACAAGGTAATATCCATGCTCCATCATTTGTCCCACACTCAATAGATTCTCCTTTAAACCAGGTACTAACATGATCTCCTTGATGTACCGTTTGCCTTGCTTAGTTGCAACCATTAACTCTCCTTTTCCAACTACATTAACCAACTCCCCTGTGCCCATCTCAACTTTGGCAGTAACACTTCTATCAATGTTCTCCAGTAAATCTTCTCTTCCTGTCATGTGATTACTGCAGCCATTATCAACATACCAAACATCTTCTCCCTTCTTCACTGCAGCAGCCATACACACATAGAACACATAGTTGGATTGTTCTCCACTTTGTTTGACATAATTTGCCTGTTGAGTAACCTTCTTTTGACCTGCAATCCTTAACAAAATGCCCTGGCTTATCACAGTTATGGCACCTTTGGTTTTCCCTTGAAACCAACACTCTCCCAAAATGAAGTATTTCTTATCACAGTTTTAATGCAACCATTACTATGATCATTAGATCAGAAACTTTCAATTTCTCAACAATTCTTTGATTTCTATATTTCACCATAACTTTTCATTTGTGACATAAGATCAAATAATCGCACAACATACACAGAGAATGCTTCATTTTCACCCATACGAGTGTATTCAAAATTGCCTTAAACTTTGGAGAGTTTCAGACATCTCACCTGTTTATCCCCAATAAATTCTTGCTTCAGTGTGCATCCCAAGCCTCCTTTGCCGTCTCCAGTATGGCGATTCGTGGGAAAATTTCATCGGACACAGAACCTTGAATAATCCCGAGAGCCTTAGCATTGATATCATGTTCTCCTTTAGCTGCTTTAGTTCAGCGGCATTGAGTTCTTCATCTTCTTTCTTCACCGGAGGTTTATACCCCGTTTCAACCATATCCCACAGATCGTGAGATCTGAAAATAGTCTTCATCTTTATCTGCCAGAAATCAAAGTTTTTCCCCATTGAAAATCGGTGCTCGAAGATCATCAGCACCACTCGATCCAGCCATATTAGACTTGTTATCGAGTTACCAGTGAGTGATTTTCAGATTGATCTTCAATCGCAGCAAACTCGATTCTCTGTCGAGTTCCTTAGCTGCAACCCCTTGTCACAGATTCACGCCCAGATTGAGATCCAACCCTGGCTCTGAGGCCATATTAGAGTTTGATTTCGGGTAGATTCAATGGAACAGTAAAATGCACACACAGAGAGCAGCTTTCTTCAAAGGTTTCAGTGTATTCGACTTGTTCACAAAACAAAGAGCTCAAAGAGCATGTTTTAACGTTGGAGGAGTGAGAAACAATTTCACCCTCTCACAACATTACAAATCCATCACAACCATTCATTTCAAAGTCATCATATAAGATGCTTGCACATGTCATGAGCTATGACTCATTCTAATCCAATCTAATCTAAATACCAATTGGAATATGATCCAAAGGTTTACATTAGATCCTACACTTTGTTTATAATGAAACTACCACAGCAAATACATTTATACTTCAATAATTCATTCATTCAAGTCATAAAAATATAAACAATAGTAGTAACTTAATTAGGTAATAAAAATGAGTCTGCATAAGGAGCAAAAGAGTGCAAAAAATATTTATAATATATTTGAAAATTATAAGCATATACATACATACATACATACATACATACATACATACATACATACATACATACATACATATATATATACAGGTACCCCGGATGCTATTCAAAATTTTGATCATGGTCTTGTGCCATCCAGACGAACGAGTATCCAGTTTAATTCACAAGTCTACAAATGAACACATACATAATTCAAACAAGTTAATAAAGATGAAATATATATGATTGATTAAGCACCCATTACAGATAATCAATTTGGTTTAAGGAGACTAACCACGAACCCAGCATTATTATTATTGGTATTGGACTCCGCCATGATCCTAATACTTGAATGAATGATTGCTCCCTTTCTGCTTCTGCTTTTGCTTCTTTAGCCGAAAATCAAAGTGTGTTTAGTTTGTAATCACTTTTCTGGTTTATATAGAAAACGAGTAGGTCGGTCTTCTAACTATGAAATCATTCCTAACTGAATTTGGATCCTCTCCGGACTTTACTATCCGGAGCCTAAGGATCAGGAAATCGGGCTCTCGGTTTGAGTGAAAGAGAGATCAGAGCTCTTGATTTGTGTGAGATGAGTCAGTGAAATGAGTTAATGAGGATTGTCAGATTCAATCTGAGTGATGTGAATTGAATGATTTTTGGGTTTCGAACAGTGAAATCTGAAAAGAATCAGTATCCTTACTAATTAACCTGCTAATCCTTCACGTGATTCAAGAAAGGATCTCTGAGAATACAGTTTTGAAGTTTCCATTTGGAGGGCCATTTCATTTCTTCGTTAGTTATATAATCTCAAGGATTAAGAGATATCATCTCATTGTCATTTCATGGATAGAAAGAAGGTAACATTGATTTATAAGAATTAAGGATCTCAAAATTTGAAATTGTTACATTTATTTATTTAGTTGATAAACCTTATCCATGATCCGCTATATAGAATTATATCTACCTTGAAATCAGCTGCAATCATATTTTTTTATTGAATTTTGTAAGAGCTTGTGGATCATGCGGTTAATCAGTTATTACATCTTTGACAAAAGTCTTGTATTCGATCCTTCCATGTATAATATCGCCTGTATATTATATTAGAATATCATACTCTAATTGATTTGGCTAGAGTAATGTATTTTTTCTTTCTACACGCATATTTGAATCTCCCCATCATAATTTAAATTATATAAGAATATTGTTCAAATAAAAAATCAATTTGTATAGAAAAATTAAGATAGAAAGTCAAATTTTGTGTTGAACAGTGTACCTAAACCCTCTATTCTTAGACCAAGATTTGCAAGGGATTATATGTAATCTTCCACGTCACTAACATGATTTACCCTCCATCTAATTATTTTCCAATAATCCCATTACAAATTCGAAAACCGAGTCATTTCATCGAGAGAGATGAAAAAAATATATTCCTCTAATAGCTTCTTCACCGGTGCTCCTCCTATGCTTTTGAATTTGGATCTTCTCTAGATCTTATTGTCCGGAGCATAAAGGCTAAGAATTTGAGCTGTTGATTTGTGTTAAAGAAAGATTAGAACTTTTGGTTTGTGTGAAGCGAGTCAGCGGAGTGAGTTAATGAGAATTGTCGAATTCAATTTGAATGATCCAGATTGTCTGGTGCTTAGGTTTCGGACATCTGTCCTATGCGTTTGTCTACACAATAGTTTTAAGATTGCAATTGGTACATAAAGCAAAAATGCTACTCTTACTATATTTTCTATGCTACATTTGTATTATCGTTCTAATAGAGATGAGATCCACATGTGTTGACATACCCTATCTCTTTTAGAGACGTGACACAAATGTAGTATGAAAAATATGATAAGTGTACCATTATTGTACCTAACTGGGGTAAAGCAACACAATTATGTCGGTAAAAGCATTGGAATTCACATCAGGTATCCTCACACAGAAGCAAGAAAGAAAATTTTCAATTTGATTAAATTAAGATATAGGATCGGTTTTGCTTGGAGTCGATCAAAGAATAACTGAACTGAATGTAACTCTTTGACCAAAAAAAAACCTGAATGTAACTCTTATACAACTTACATGGACCAAAGCCTCTCTAAAGGGTAGATATTCCTACAAATCAAAGGCCGGGCAGAATGTGGTCAGTAGGGTATGTCTCCTTGAGGAAGATTCCAGTTATCTCCATCGTCATCGCTCTTCTTGGTTTCGGGGACTTCCGGCTTCTGCTGAAAGGGTCTTGAAAAGGGACGCCGGCTGATAAAGGACACGAGCACCATTTTCAAGGGGGGTGACTAACCAAAAGAAATGAAAAGCAGGACACAATGTCACAAGCAGAAATTGGAACACAGACCTTCTCTTGTTTCGCTTTGTGGCGTCGCGAGTCCGGCGCTTCTTCTCGTCCTGCTTGTTCTCAAAGTACCTCCTCCTCTTAACCTCCTGAATAACGCCGGCCCTCATGACCTCCCGCCGGAACCTGCCGAGCAGCCGCTCCTCGGGCTCGTTGTCGTCAACAATCACCTGAACATTGTACGCCGACTTGAAGAAGAGGACGCTGGCGTGAGCCAGAGAGGGGCATATCACAGACTCTATCGACGAAGCAGCAGCAGCAGAGTGGGCCCCTTGGGCAGGCAGTGGGACCAACTCAATCTCTGGGCTTCTGAGTCTGTAAAATAGAGAGCTGGGTTGGTGGGATTTTGGTTTGCGATGGCTTTGTGAGGCTGAGGAAGGAGAACAAGTTGCAGAAAGGAGAACAAGTTGCAGAGAGCGGATGAGGCAGCCATGGATGATGACTTTAGTGAGACTTGTCGACCTTCTTATTTTGCTGTTTATCTCTGTCTAACTTTTCCGGAGCGAAGATAGGACTGGACCCACTAAGATACAATCTGTGCGATGGACTTCAAAATTGGGCCGTTGGATCTAGACAGTCATGACCTGAGAGTGAGAGCCCTGGCTAGAAACAGTGGTTCCGCATCAACTGGATCGGACCATGTTTGGGGACTTACGTGGATATTAACCATTTATAACCCGTCATGAGTACGGGTTTTATGCAATTAGACAAATAGAGACGGATTCGTGACATTTTTTTTTGTAGAGTTCACATTGTAATGTATTTCAACGATCCGTACGAATCATTTTAATATGATTCTTATTCAAATTTCTCATATTTCAAGTAAATAATATGCTTTAAACATCAAGTGTACAATACTTGGGGCTCTCAATGCACCAAAATATTAATGAGGTAGATAAAGTAGTAAAAGTATATGATATATTTCTTTAAATCTCACTCATTCATTCCGAGTTACAATAAATACAACATGATATTGTAATATTTTATAAAAGATGATGCTAAAGATATCAAAATTTTAAATCATCTTTTGTATATCATATGTTGTAACGGTTGATGGTTGGACACATTCTTTAGATCATTAAAAAGGAGCTAAACTATCAACTGACACATAAAATTATTTACAAAAAAATATCTAATAATGTGCCTTTTCATTTTATAACATATCAATTACGTTATCCACTTTCTGCATAATGTGACTCAAACAATGCTTTATCATCATGTTTGAAGCCATTCATGCCACGTGCTGACGTGCATACCCAATTCTTGGTAAATCCAAATTCTCCTTTATTGTTTCCTTTGATTCATGCCTTGTGTACTGGAAGATACATTTGGTGCTAAATATATATAGTTATTAGTTAAACCAATTTTCGACCAAAATAAATAAGTAAATATAATTAAACCAATTAAAAGATGAATGAGTGTGTCTGTCGAAACTGGTTTGCTTTATAGTACTAAATTGAGGGGCGGAAAACTGATTAATTAACCTCGCTCTGCTGCAGCCAATGCCATACTTTGCTTTTCTCATATTTTATTTGGAACAAAAATGCTACACGACTCTGAAACCTGATTAGAATACTAATTAGAAAATATTTTAGTGAACGAAAGTGCAAATCCATGATGCTAATCACTAATCAGTGGACAGGCAGCACAAATCCTTTGATTAAAGAATGGATTAGCAGTTTACTGATGGCCATTAAACTATTCAGATAGGAATTGTTAATTAGCTTTATCGATGCTCTTGATCAGTGTAATCCAACTTGGACCGTCGTTGTTGTCCTAGAAAAATAGGTATACTATATTAACCCAAAACAATATTTATCAAATCTTAAATATTATTTGGTTTGAGAAAATAAAGAGATTTTTCAATGTGCCGATGTACTAGACCATGTTCCGGCACACTAAAAAATTTCTCTAGAGATGTGGTTGTAGCTACATTGATTAGAACGTATATGTACTCCCTCTTATGTATAATACATGAGTTAAAATCCCAATTTTGATTACCCTAATTGTAATTACGTATTATAGATGCGCATGCTAGTTACATAAGTATATTTAAACATACATATCTTATCACTTGTTGCAATCGTGAAGAAATGTATCTTCTTTGTGTTAGTTGATCTAACCCGCACCATTTTCCCGAGGCAAGATAGCATTTTTAGTGTGATTGTCACAACACTTCACTCGATAATACTCATCTACTAATGTTATAACACGCGAAGTTTACATGAAACGACTCCGGCTGCCATTCATACTCACCCAGTATACAAAAGAACCATACAATACAGTAAATACTGATCTCTCTCTCTCTCTCTCTCTCTCTCTCTCTCTCTCTCTCTCTCTCTCTCTCTCTCTAAAAATGTTGGTGATGGTGTTGTGGTGGTGATGATAACTAAAATAATATTGTTGGTGTATTATAATCCCTGCACCAAGCAAATGGGGAGTCATATTCAACTCCAAGTTGAATTCTCTCCCTTGCTGCCATCACACTGCTTCTACTTCATTTCCTCTTCCACTCTTACCATCCATTTTTTTCTCTGTGCCTTGATGGCCTCCCTCCTTCCATCCTTTCTCTCCTCTGATCCTTCTCTCTCCTCCTTCGCTGCTGCTTCAATCACTTGGTTTTCTTGTCGCCCGCACAAAGTTTGATCCTTAGAGATTAATTGGGCTGAGAGACCACACACCACCACTTTTCATTTTTTTCATTTCTTTCATTTTCTTTGCTTTGACTTTGAAGGTTGATTCCCTGGTATTACTTCTCTTTCTTCCCTACTTTTTTTTTTTTTTTTTAAATTTTCATTGGTATCATCTCTCTGCAATATTTATCTTCTGTTTATCTGCAGTCTGCTCAATTTAAGGTACTTTTCTGTATATATATGTTGCCTTCTGTTTACTGGATATTGATCAAAACTTCTATTTGGGTAAATTAAATATTTGTAATATTATTTGAGGCATCTCTAGTTGTCTTCTTATATTTGTGGGTAATTTTCATATTACTTCCATTCTCTATCATTTTTTTCCGAGTATCTATGGACAAAAACAAAGAAAGGAGTGCGGAAGAAGAAAATGAGTGGGAAAATCGCAACCTGTAATTTATATGTTTGAAAGGCAGCTTTGTTTCAAGTAAAATTTTCAGCTTTTTGCCCTCGGAGAATAAGATTCTTCTTAAGAAAATGAAATTACTGCCCAGACTATTGTTTGTTCTAATCATTAATTTGAGTCGTATTGCTTTCTTATTTATTTATTTGTTTAATTATGATATGATTAGTGCACATAGTGATCTAATTTATGATCATCATTTCTTGGATTTTGTTCTCCAGTTCTCTGAAATCGCCAAGAATTTAAAGGTTTGAGGGTTTGAGGGTTTGAAGGAGTCAATGTCCAGAGAAAAAGAAATGGAGGGTACTGCAGCAGAAGGAGGAGGAGAAGAAAGCAGGGGGTTGTGTAGAGATGAATGCAATAATAATGTTCTCAGTTGTAAGAAATGGGTGTTTGCTAGTAATAATGCCGGAGAAAAGCTTGGAGATCAAAGCCTGAGCCACCGTGAATTTAAATATCCACGACAGCTTAGGCTCAAAGTTGTTGGTTCCGGTTCCTTAGGAACTGTGCCACGTAAACCGCAGGATGCAGATTATACAATTCCTCCCCTCATTGATGAGGTGGAGGCTTTGATCTTAGCCAGGGTGCCGAGATCAGAGTACCGGAAGTTTTGTACCATAAACAAGCGCTTTTTCGCGCTGTTGAAGAGCGGTGAGCTATACAAGATCAGGGCCGAACTTGGGATTAAGGAGCCCTCTGTGTTTGTGTCGCAACACGGGGAAAATACGTGGTGGGAATTTGACAGGCAGTTCAGGTTTTGCAGGAAGCTCCCAATCCTACCATCGGATTCGTGCTTCACGTCAAGCGACAGGGAGTCCCTTTGTGCAGGGACTCATCTCCTGGTGTCCGGCAGAGAGATAGAGGGTGTTGTTGTTTGGAGGTATGACATGGAAGCAAACCAATGGGGCAAGGGTCCTAGCATGATCAGTCCGAGGTGTATGTTTGCTTCTGCAACATGTGGTTCCTACGCATATGTGGCCGGCGGGATGGGATTGGCAAGTGATTGGAAAGCCATGGATTCTGCTGAGAGATACAATCCTGGGACTAAATCATGGGAGCCCCTTCCAAACATGGAGCGAGAGAGGAGGAGCTGCTCCGGCTGTTTCTTGGACAACAAGTTTTTTGTGATTGGAGGGAAAGATCGGCATGGAAGCGATCTATTCTGTGCAGAAGCCTTTGATATTGAGAAACACACATGGGAACTCATCCCGGACATGCTAGAAGCTGACTGGACAACTCTAAGCAACCCATCTCCACCACTTATTGCGGTGGTGGCCAACCAGCTCTACTCTCTGGAAACTTCCACAAATGAGCTCAAGGTGTATTTGAAGCAAAGCAAGGCATGGAAGAAGTTGGGAGTCGTTCCAGTAAGAGCTGACGCTACTTCCGGATGGGGTGTAGCCTTTAAGTCGCTCAGGGACGAGCTACTTGTCATCCAATCCTCATTAGATTCATATGCAGGAGGCCCTGCCCTCATATACACTTGCCGCCCTGATCCAACTGCTGATGAATTGCAGTGGCAAGCTCTTGAGCACGGCCACAGCCGCCCTACCCGCTTCATAGTTAATTGTTCCGTCATGGCTGCTTGAATGCGGTTAACTTAAACCCTAAAAGGTGTGATTTCTGCCTAGGTAGCCGTTTGACGTGGTGCATTTAAATTCCACCCTTCTTTGGTGTCATGGTAATAACTATAATAGTCATCAACTCCCGAGAAACGGTAAAGGAATAAGAACTATCATGTTAATGGACATACATAATGCAGTGCAGGCAGATGATCAATACGCTTCAACCGGGTTATTCTATTCCACCTCTTAGAAGGCTTTCCACGAGTACAAACTAGTGTTCAATTTTCCACATGTTTTTCGGTGTTTGTTGTATTATTATTAATGTGCGCGTCTCCCTCCCAAGTCCAAACCTTGTTATCTAATGGAGCTTTCTGAGTTTTTCTTTACTTCTATCTCCTGCATAACTTGTGCACGTGTGTGTTCAACCACAGAAAACAGAGGATGTAACCTTGAACTCGTCCGTCCTTGGTTTTTTTTTTCCACAGAAAACATTGTTGTCAGTTTCGACAAAACGTTGACAAATCTAGCTTTACAGAGATGCACGACTACTCTGAAAACGGAGATGGGAAACAAAATTTCCAAATAAACGAAAACCAAATTTACTCGTGACTATTATGGAAAAAAAATGAAAAAAAACACATGATTTGAGAGGAAGAGAGCGAGATGAAGACGGACAAAAGTGGGGGACAAAACCCAAACTAAAAGGTAAAACGAAGAAGACGAAATCGAAGCATAGAGATAAACGATGATCGACGGGTGGCGAGCATGGGCAAAACCGCCGTTTAACTGTACAAAGCAGGCAACGAAGAAGAAATGAAGGCCATTTCAGCCACATTACACGGTTAACGAACAGTGCCGGAAAACTGAGTTTTAGTATATGTTTTTATTTTATTTTTTTGTAGGTTGAAAGAGTTTTAGTATATGTATAATATACGTTTGGCTAAATTGGATTAATGGTTCCCGTGATGAGAGGGTAATTAGAAGATAACCCACATGGTGAAAAAAATCGGATTCAAACCCTTGTGGTGAACTCCGTTAGGATTTAAGCTCAAAATTAACATCTTCCTCGTATGTCTGTTAACCCATTCAACCTTCATAACCAAAAGAGAAAAAAACTCATTCATCCAAGGCTATGAATTCGTTGATCCATGCTTCGATTTCATTCAAAGATCTTTTGTCCATTAATCAGTGAATTCCCTAAATATGCCCATTTTAGAAAGAAAAAAAAATTTCAAACAAGATCCTTCAGCTGTCAGATTACAGAAGGATTGTGATTTTCTGCTCACTAAAAGCAAAACGAAAATGAATATTACAATTATAAACAATAGAAGGAGAAAATTGGCGATGAAAATCCAAAATACCTAGTGGTATTCATTTACAAGAAACGGGTTTCTTCTGTTGGATGCGTCCATGGAGATTGAAGAAACATGAAAATGGGTTTCTCTTTTGGATGGGAGATGGACTTGGATTTTTTGGTGTCATTTATTTGATGGTAAGAATGTTGCTTCTTTGGCACTCTCTATCTCAACGCTCACACAATTTTTCTTTCTTCTTTTGCTCTTCTGATCAAAAGATTGAGGTTGCAGCTATTTAAATATGACGCAGGGAGAAAAATGCAGGACAAATTGAGATTAAACTTAGCAGACTTCGTGGTTTTAAAATCCAATGAAATCTTTGGGAGAATGGTGGGATTGTTAATTTTGGATTAACGGAGAGTTCACATACATGTTAATTTTGAACTTAAATCCTAACGGAGTTCACCACAAGGGTTTAAATTCAAATTTTTTCACCACGGAGGCTATCTTGCAATTACTCTCTCACCACGGGAACCATTAATCCAATTTAGCCTATATGTTTTGAGAGATAGCTTTCGTTTTGACAGTCACCCTCCTACTATAGTCTTATCATTTCACCAGAGAGTTGTTTATCTCATGTATGAACAACTAGGTATCATTCTGATATGTTTCTCATTCAAACTTCTCATACTTCAAGTAAATAATATGCTTTAAACATCAAATGTACAATAAGTGCACCAAAATATTAATAAGGTCGATAAAAGTAATAAAAGTATATGATATATTTCTTTGAATTTCATTTGTTCATTTCAAGCTACAATAAATACAATGATATTATAATATTTTATAAAGGGTGATGCTAGAAAAATCAAATTTATAAAATCATCTTTTGTAGATTACATGATGTGGCGGTTCATGGTTAAACTCATTTAAATCATTAAAAAGAAGCTCAACTATCAACTGCTATACGAGATGATTTACAAAAAATGGTCTAATAATTTAGCATGCGTCGCATTTTCTTTTTATAAGATATCAACCACGTCATCCACCTTTTGCATAACTCTCACAATGCTTTATCATCATATTTGAAGCCACGTGTTGACGTGCGTCCCCAATTCTTGGTAAATGTAGGAAGAGGATCCTTTATGGATCCACTTTCCGAGAAGAGATCCCCTCTGGATCTCTCCCACCAAATTCTAGGGATTCAGGCTCTTGAAATTTGATCCAACGGTTATAAACAGGAGGTCCTTCTAAAAGTTATAATAATTGTAACCGTTAAATCAAATTTCAAAAGTCCGGATCTCCGGATCCCTAGGGCTTGGTGGGAGAGATCCGGAGGGGATCTCTTCCCCCACTTTCCTAGCCGTTCATCGTACATCGCGGCTAGTTTTCGTCAGGTACTATTTGTGTTTAATTTTACATTAAAAAAAAAAGTCAAATGATTTCTGATTACACAATGCACGATGAATGACTAATATGTGAGGATCCCTAGGATCCCCACAAATTGAATCTGGATGGGATCCAAATCCGTAAATGCAAATCCTCTTTTACTGTTTCATTTGATTAATGTCATGTGTACTAAAGATACATTTGATGCTAAATATGATAAATATTAAGCAGACTCTCTTAAAAGTGTGATTCTTTACCGACTTTCTGTCATTTCATATTTTTCGCACAATATTTTAGAATATTAGCATATGAATTAATTTTAAATTGTGAGGTGACATAAAGATTATAGAAAGCTGCTAAGTATATAACTGTAAACCAATTTTGGACTAAAATAAATAAATATATATAATTAAACCAATTAAAAGATGAATGAGTGTGTCTGTCGAAATTTGTTTGCTTTTTAGTACTAAATCAAGGGCCGAAAGCTGATTAATTAAGCTCCCACTACTGCAGCCAACGCCATGCTTTGCTTTTCTCATAGTTTATTTGGAACAAAAATGATATATGACTCTGAAACGTGTTTAGAATACTAATTAGAAAATATTTTGGTGACGAAAGGCAAATCCATGATACTAATCAGTGGACAGGCAGCACAAACGCTTGATTAAAGAATGGATTAGCAGAAAAAAGAATACTTAAAAAAGAGAAAAACATTGATGGTTAATTACTGATGGCCATTAAACAACTCAGATGGGAAATTATTAACTAGCTTTATCGATACTCTAGATCAGTGCAATCCGAATAGGACCGATGTCGTGGTCCTAGAAGAATCTAGATCCTTGTCGGATTCTCTTTGTAAGAATCTTGGAGATCTGTAACTCAATTCATTTATCGTACATTTTGAGGTCAAAAATTATTTTAAATACGAACAGTATCTGATAAAAACTGACTACGATGAACAAACACGATTTACGGATCCCCAAGATCCTCAGCAAAAGGATCCAGAGAGGATCTTGTTGGGTCCTAGAAATATAGCTATACTATATTAATCCAAAAAAATATTTATCAAATCTTAAATATTATTTGGTTTGAGAAGATTGAAAGATTTTTCAATGTGCTGGTAACACCACCCGATACATCAAATTTCATAATACAAATTATTGAATACTTGAAAAAAAAATTCCAACCATTTCTATTATGACGCTTGATGTATTGTGCCATATTCCCGGCACATTGAATATTTTTTCGAGAGATGTGATTGTAGCTACATTGATTAGAACGTTTATGTACTCTCTCCTATGTATGGGCTCGTTTGGAAGTACTTTTAAATTACTAAAAGCGCTTTTATAGAAAATATTTTTGGATTTCATAAACACTTAAAGTACTTCCTGTAATAAGCATAAGTTGTAAGAAGTACTTCAAGTTTTTTTTATTTCTAGGATTCACTTGCGTTTTTTTACTAAAGATTAGTTTCAAAGACATTTAAAAAAAAAAAAAAACGTTTTCAACTATTTCAAAAGCACTTCCAAACGAGTTCAAATCACAATTATGCTTACCTTAATTGTGATAATGTAACTTTGTTGTGGGTGCCTAGACTAGTTACAAAAGTACATTTATACGTACATATCGTATCACTTGTTGCAATCGTGAAGCTAAATGTGTTAGTTGACCTAATTCACACCATTTTGCTATGATAAAATTGGTTTTTTTAGTGTGATTGTCACAACACCTCACTTAATAATACAGATCTACTAATATTATAACACACATAGCTATTTATTAAGAGAGTTTTAACGAAAAGCTTACGGTACTGTTCACTTTAATGAAAAACCACATTCAATCCTGGTATTATTTACTTTACCCCTTATTTTATCCTTATCGTTAAAACTCAAAATTTTCAAACATTTTTCATTAGTTTTCCTATTTATTAATCGGTACATCAAAGGACACCGGCTGCCACTCCTACTCACCCAGTATACAAAAGAACCATACAATACAGTAAATACTCTCTCTCTCTCTCTCTCTCTCTCTCTCTCTCTCTCTCTCTCTCTCTCTCTCTCTCTCTCTCTCTCTCTCTCTATCTAAAAATGTTGGTGGTGGTGATGATAACTAAAATAATATTGTTGGTGTATTATAATCCCTGCAACAGGCAAGTGTGGAGCCATATTCAACTCCAAGTTGAACTGTTTCTCCATTGCTGCCATCACACTGCTTGTACTATTTCATTTCCTCCATCATTTCTCTCTCCTCCTTCGCTGCTGCTGATACTGCTTCAATGTCTTGGTTTTCTTCTCCCCGCACAAAGTTTGATCTTTAGAGATTAACTGAGCTGAGAGACCACACCACCCACCACCACCTTTCATTTCTTTCGTTTTCGTAGCTTTGACTTGAAGGTTGATTCCCTGGTAGGCTGGTATTACTACTCTTTCTTCCCTACTATTTTATTTGTTTATTTTTAATTAATTTTCATTGGTTATCATCTCTCTGCAATATTTATCTTCCGTTTATATGCAACTGCCCATTTTAAGGTACTTTTTTGTATATATATATTGCTTTCTGTTTACTGGATATTGATCAAAACTTTTATCTGTGTAAATTATATTATTTGAGGCATCTTAGTTATCTTCTTATATATGTGGGTAATTTTCATTAACCTCTGCACAAGTGCTTGATATAATTTCCTCATGTGGGTAAATATATAC